GTAAAGGGAAGATGTTTCCTTCGACGGGAAAGGATTGCAATTTTTCCGTTCCATTACATGTTATCCGTAATGTAACAAGCAGTGATATGAACACATATACAACGTACCGATTCGAGGCTTCCAATTTTTCAAACACGTCCAATCCATATTCCGCCGCTGAGTTGCAATGTAATCAGAAGAGATGTTGCAACAAAAGTTACATTTTGTTCCGGATAATACAACATGAGGGAGCTGGAAGCTGATCCGAGGAAAACGTAATTCATACATGTGGGTAAGCAGAGCAGCAAGAATAAAGCTAACCGAGCTCTAATCTCGGATTTGGGTGAAACATTTCCGAATGAGATGGTTTCATCAAAAATAGATGAACAGTTGGTTGGACTGGAAGGTGGTGGTTTCTATCGAAGGAATTGAGAACGTTGGAAAGTCAAATTTGAAGATGATTGAGCTTTGCTGCACTAGAATTGACTTCGACGTTAGTAAAGAGAAATCTTGTTAGGAAGCGATTGAAAATTGGTTTCCTTTTTTATGTTCAGCTTCATTTGTTGAGTTGAGATTATTTCCTAGGGGCAGCCAGCTGTACTCAGAGTTAATATTCTTGCTCCGAGCAAATTTAAGTAAGTCATAATTACTAAAAAAAATATCAAAGTAATCTTAGGACCTTACATGCGTCAACAAATACAAACTAAATACAGTGCCAAGATATATGATGTGAAAGAGGGATCGTTTTCGTACTATTTTATTATATTTCTCGATTACTTTTTCGAAGGGACGTATCAGCTTTTATAAACAATTTATTTGATCGTCGATTTGATGTAACTGGTAGGTCGCCCACGCATACTAACACCACTATCAGGTAGGAGAAAAATTCCCCTATCAGTGGGTAGTGTTAGAATGTGTGGGCGAGCTACCAGTTACGTCAAATCGACGATCAAATGCATTGCTAATACGTCCCTTCGAAAAAGTTATCGATATTTATGTTAAAAATCGTTATTAAATCACTTGAATTCATTTCATCATGAATTACCCTGATTTGGGGAATCTAAGAACTTTAATATAAAGGAAAAACAGGTAGAAAATTTCATATGCAGAGAACGTGAAAAACGGATCTGTAACACCAAGCAAGACGTGCTTTATGAGAGTATGCCAAACTAAAGCCCTCTAGTTAAAGTATGGACGACTGTCACCACAAAACTGAAAAAAGCTGTTCCAATCAAGCAAAGCGGTACATTTTGACGGTTCGATTGGAACAACTTTTGACAGACGTCCATAAGTTTACTGTAGGGCTTTATGCCAAATGTGTTCGGTAAATTAAAGGTTCTACAATGGATCACTTCAAGTAGGTAATATGGCGTTTCCTACCACTTGAACTTTGGCGTGGATTAGGGTTTAAAAAAAGCTTCTAGTACCTCGAGAAAATAGGTTATGACTGTAAGAGGTCAGTCAAAGTGGACCAAAGAGTCCGATCCAACTGTTGAAGTGAGTGGACGAAATTAAATGATGGACACAATGAAGATGCCAAACTGTTAGAATTTGTACCTTTATGGAGCGTATGACATTAACAGAATATTGATGTTTATAGATACCGACATATACTCGTGTTTATATTTACCGCTAAAAGAAAAATGTTCCTAAGCTATATCAGTAATGTATTGCTTCATTTTCTTAAAATCGCTAGCAGAAGGTTGTCTTAAAACTGCTCGACAATATGCATCGCAAAAAATAAGAATGAGTTAGGAATTCCAAATAGATGGGAGCGTTATTTGGTTGGTGTAGAAATAATATTTTAAATATGGATAAGTGATGACAAGGTTTTGCTTTTTAATTTAATACCGCGACAACTTAGTGGCAAATAGGATTTATTATAATAAATTTTTCTGAGAATCCAGTAACCTAAATAATTACACTGGCTATTTTTCTAGCACCACAAAGCCGTAGTCGTGACTTTGATGCCTCACGAAGTTTAAAACTGCGAGTAATTTAACCAAATGTTCTTCAGCAAATACCACAGAAGACGGTTCGAATGACTCATATATTAAATCTGAAAATGCTATGGCAAACTTCCACCGATAACAGGCTGCATTAGATTTGGATTAAAAAGACCTACAAAAGATTGGTACGGAGAAGTAGGTATGACGGTCGTTGGATAGAAGGATGGTGATCGAGAATAAACCACTGTTGGGTAATGGAAAGCAGCGGAATTTTGAAATATTTATCACCGTTGAACGTCTTTGTTTTACACTAGGAGAATTAACACAAAAACAGCTTGCTGTGTTACCGTGCATTGCATATTGAGCAACTAGAGTTACTCAGAGTTACTCAAAAATAACTCAAACATTACTCATGATGAAAAGCTGTCTTGCCCCCAGGAAAATTCCGGTCTATCCGATCCTGGCAATACTCGATCAAATTCCTGGGCAGGAAATTTATACCTCAGTGCCCCGGAAGAGTGCCCCGGGAGAATGTAAAGTTGAAATTCACCAAATAGTTCTTTGTCTTGCAAGCAATCTGCAGTTGTGAGCAGAAAAGCAAAGCTTTCGTTACTTCTGGGACAATGAACTAGCAAATATACCAGAAGGAGTACCTATGGAAGAGTCTTCCAATAATGTCTACGTTTGATGATCAAATTAGTTGTTGTTGTTTCTCTTGCAAGGAAAGAGAACCACGACAGTCGGTTTGTTAGATTGCAACGGACCTCGATGGAGAAAATCACTCAGGATACAGAAGTGACACGTACACCGTATTTCGCGACCTGGAATATCCATGACTGGATACGATCATCGCATGGATGATGGTGAGGATTAAGGTTGTTAAAAGTCACTATTAAAATTCAGAATTTTTATCTATGTATGTTTACCGTCGATCCCGTATCAAATTCCAGAACCGACCGGTATATTAGTTGTCTTCCGGTAAAAGAAGTGGCCGACGAGCACAAGAACGTGTATCTGACCAAGCATCCTGCTAGCGTTATGGTGTTTGGATTGGTGACTTCCGATGGCAAAAAAATTGACCCGGTGTTCATTCCAGAAGGCGACAAGGTCAACACGGAGGTCTACACCGGGATTTTAAGTAAGTATGTTCTTCCGTGTACGGTCCGAAGCCAAATGTTGTATTTCAACAAGATTGGGCTCCGTGCCACACCTCGAACCGCACTCAGAAGTGGTTGCAGGAACATCTTCCGTTCTGGGTGAAGGATATGTGGCCGCCATCCAGCCCCGATCTTAATCCGCTGGATTACTCAATATGGCGCGTCATGAAGGCCAAGGCCTGTTCTAAACGCCACCCGAGTACAGCAAGCCTCAGACAAACATTGACCCGTACCTGGAGAGAAATGGATTCAGACTACATTATTAGAACCTGCCGTGCATTCCGGAAGCGTGTGGAGGCCGTAATTGCAGCAAGTGGAAACTCGATCGATGATTAACATAGTTTAAGACTCTGAAAAACATCCCGCTTTGAATAAATAAAAACAACTCCAAAACGAAATTTTTGAGAATTTTTTTTTCAATTTTGACTTTGCTCAATGGTGCAAACATTATCGCGCATACGGTACAGCTGGACACTACCTAGCAACCCATCAACTCATGAACCAGGTACCAACGGCTTTATCAAAGATTGTATGTTTTGGAAAATCCTGACGGCACCGACTGGGATTGAACCCAGGCCCTTTGGAGTGAAAGGCAGTAACAATTACCACTACATCACCGGCTCCGCTGACCCTTAGGAGTTGATGAGTAGTTGAATGTCCATGGGGAAATCTTAACTGTTCATATCGTTAGTGATGCTATGGTATACTTCATGGAGTGGATACTAACTACACTCGCAAATCTTTTGAAATTCTCAGTCATACTATCGTCTGACTGTCGATATTCTCCGCCACGCCCATTTTTACCATAACTAGGGATAGGGAAGGAAACGTTGATGTAGTTACTTAACGAAATGTTACCGACTTTGCAACACCCTCATAATTGCTACAGTGTTGGAGGTTTGGGTAGGGTATTCGGTAAGGATTCGCCTCAAGTTAGCGATGCAACCAAACGCATATATTGTTTATGTGTTGCTCATTTAATCTATCTATAGCTGACTATCGAAAGAAAATATTAATTTTGTTTAGTGATCCTGCATTTTAAGAGTCATCATGCAGAGCTTGGATTAAATCCACCATTTTCTGCTCAGTAAGCAAAAACGATCCCTGCAGGGTCATAGAGCATCTCACAATTCACAGTGCTTCGCGACAAAGTACGATTAAGTATTGTATCGAAAATAAGTTATACACATATTTTTCTTTCAAATCATATAAAAAATGATGTTTTATTCAAACAAACGATTGATCTTTTATGATACGAGAATGAACTTGAACATTGTGAAGACCGGATGAATTTAATATTACTCCTTCACGAATTTTCGAATTTTTGATCGACCATTTTTAATCAAGTTCCGGACAAGTGTTTCATCACATTTTTTGGACGCTTTAGCCCAATTTTTTTTTTTTTTTTTATTTTGAAGTCCTGCATATTCCCAGCTGCTTTACCAGTCTTTTTGAAGACCCTCTTCACAATCGCTTAGTAGGGTTCGATGGGCCAAAGCTGAGGGCTATTCGGTGGATTGATGTCTTTCTCATCAAAATCTATACCCTTTTCCGTGAGCCAATTGAGAGTTGTTTGTGCGTAGTGCGACGACACTAAATCCGGACAAAACAGTGGAGGGATACTATGCTTCTCATATAAAGGCAGCAACCTCTTCTGCAGACACTCAGATCGATAGATTTCCGCATTTATAGTTCCGGTAGTGTAAAAAATGGTAGACTTCAAACCGCAGGAACATATTGCTTGCCATACCAGCAATTTACGATCAAATTTCTCCACTTGAATCGACCTGTCCGTATCGCTTACATCCTCGCCTACGACGGTAGTATAAAATTGTGGACCTGGAAGGGTTTTTGAGACCTCTTTCACATAGGTCTCGTCGTCCATCAAAATGCAACATACACTTTTGACGATGCTTCACAGCAACCGTCGCCATTTCCGGGCCCTTGTTGCAGCACGATGCTTTTGTTCTGCACTTTGTTTGGAGATTTTCTGCTTCTTATAGGTCTTCAGGTTGTTCCGTTTCTTGATACGTTGGATCGTTCCGACGCTCGTTCCCGCTTTCTTGGCCAAATCACGTATCGACATTGATTTGTTCTTCCTAATTAGAGATACCACTTTCTGGTTCAGTTTCGGGTTGGAAGATCCGGGTTTTCTACCTCTTCCTGGTAGTTCATCCAAAGAATAGTGTTCCCGAAACTTGTTTATGATGGATTTTACACTCGCGTGATGAATTCCAACGCGATTTGCCAATTTTCGCATGGTTACATCCTTTTCACTTAGCCATGTGTCCAAACCCTTAATTTTCACTTCATTTTCAATGCGCGACATTTTGGAAACGAAGAATTTAAACCGTAAAAAAAGTAAACAAACGAAAGATGACAGTCAAACGCACAGGATGCAGTGATTAGCATATTAAAACCATCACAAATACGTGCGAACAACGCAAAGGTATGTGGATAGCTTATTTCCGATACAATCCTTAGGTTGTCTTTAGGTATGTAGCGAACGATTAAGATACGCGATAATTCATGTACTTTCTGCGGATTATCGTTTATTTAAAATATACGAATAATACTGCCAACGACGACACGTCAATCTATTCAGCGGGACAAACTTAACGAATTTCAAAGTTGATACGTGTTTTGGAATGTACCAATAGCGTACCATAGCGTACCTTCAAGGATTTTGAACGTACCTCAAAGTTTCCCGGAAAACCCGTGTCCCGCTGGATAGACATACGATTTCAGCAATGACCGAGTCGATCGACCAGATTTCTATGGAAATGTGACGTACCAAATGCGTACTTTACGAAACTGGCATTCATTTTTAACGTACCTCTTATTTTCACTTAAATGCTTATACTAAATTTTGAAATCGTTTTATATATGAATTCTGGGTACGGAATTGGATTTCTCGAAAAATTTAAGCCCGATTTCATATCAAAATCACCATACTTAAGTGCATTCTAGCCAATTTGAGGGCCAAAAACAGTTTTTTTTATTTGCATCGTTTAAAAATATACTAATTTCGAATAAAACCGTAAATTTCATGAATAATTATAGAGACGCACGGTGCTGCTTGCAAAACTCCGTCATAAGAAAAGCCTTGATAACTTTCTGATCGATCATGAACAACGTACCTAACTGGAATTCACTTTCTGATAGAATTTACCTGTGATTTAAATAAAAAATAATGTTATTTCAAAAATTACATTTTTTCGATGACACATTAGAGAAAACCTGACCAAATGATCCGATATGTTTCAGAAATTATTTCTGAATAACCATGGAAAACTTTCTGATCGATCATGACCAACGAACCTAACTGGAATTCACTTTCTGATAGAATTTACAAGTGATTTAAATAAAAAAATAATATTATTTGAAAAATTTGGTCCTCAAATTGGCTAGAATGCCCTTAAGTATAGTGTTTTTTTATATGAAATCGGGCTTAAATTTTCCGAGAAATCCAATTCCGTGCCCAGAATTCATATATAAAACGATTTAAAAAGTTTAGTATGAGCATTTAAGTGAAAATAAGCGGTACGTTAAAAATGAATGACAGATTCGTAAAGTACGCATTTGTTACGTCACATTTCAGTAGAAATCTGGTCGATCGACTCGGTCATTGCTGAAATCGTTTGTCTATCCAGCGGGACACGGGTTTTCCGGGAAACTTTGAGGTACGTTCAAAATCCTTGAAGGTACGCTATGGTACGCTATTGGTACATTCCAAAACACGTATCAACTTTGAAATTCGTTAAGTTTGTCCCGCTGGATAAATTGACGTAACGACGACGATTGCATTTTCACTTTTCAACTTGAACTTTACTATTTCCATAATCTTCAAGCACCGCTTCTAACTCTTTTTTTTTTCCTCTGTTCGGGTTCTAACACCACTGCGACCAGTAATTTGATCTATTGTAGTATATCCCGTGTCCTTAGTTTAGTACATGTCGTATTACTCCATCACTATTGAAAAATTATGAAGTAGGGTAGAGCGCTACTTCGTCGTTATAGCCCATTTCCGTTCTATCGAACAGAAAAGATCGATAATATCAATGATCTCACCATGTACAAATCAATAATAGGTTTGTTCCGATGCGTTAGTGCATTAGCTACAACAGAAATCCTATAAGAGCGCATTGTATGAATATTTACGCTCATTGTTCTCAAAACAAAAGGAGCGCTCCTAACGAATCCCCTTTTTCTACGTTTATCCGTAGGACGAAGTAAATCTAATGGCGTTTCAGTAAGTTTGGACGGAATTGAAACTCGTAGGACGAATTAAGAATCAAGAAGCAGTATTAGATTTTAAGCAATATCTCAATAATTTGTGACTCTTTATGACATCCAACGGTACGTATGGAAAAGTGAATAAATTTAGCAGTCATATTGGACAGAAATATTCCCGTTTTTGTTTAAACTCGTTCAGAAAAGAGAGATTTAGCGTGGGTTGTGCTTAGTACGACGGAAATTAGATCAAAAACCCTATTCGATTTTTTTTACAGTTGTCATTCTCGCATTTATCGCAAGCATCCGACTCTAATTAAAAGGTCCCGCTATTTATACCCTTCGGAGTGTTGAAATACCCTCCAAAGTCACGCCCCGTTGTCAGTCAAAATTGGATTCCTTAGCAACAAAATTAAGGAATCACACCGATAATGACCATGCATCAGAACTCTAATCTTAATCACTTCAAACTAGGGAACAACGAATAGAAGATTAGGAATCACATAGGTGAAGACTAACGAACTCATTTTTTCCTTGGTTCAAGATCATCCTCGGTGGACAAAGCCGAGTCTTGTCACGATCAACAAGGCATAAAAAGTAACGAGGACTAAGATGTGTTCCTTGGATTACTGAAAAATCCTGTTCCCCTAGTTTGAAGTAGTCAGGACTAGGAATCTTACATCCTGTAACGTACCACGAAAAGGTGATCTACGCACGTTACGGGGTCTAAGGCTTCTAAGGTATCTAACCATAATCAGTTGTAAATTATTCGGTGCGTGGTGTATACAGTACATTGAAGAAGAGATGTTTTCAAAGACGAATTTCCAAATTATGTGCCGTCGGATCGACGAGTTTGAATTGAAGTATGGTTGCAACGCACGACCCTATTTTCAATCAAGTTGCAATAAAAATAAACAACATTTTATTTTTGAATGGCAACAGCATCATTAAGGGGAAGCTCACCGCTCCGATAAAAATAATTACTTTTTGATTTTTACAAAAATATTGGAAAATATAAAAAATCTAAAAAAATAATTTCTTTTTTATAATTTTTTAAAGAAAATTCACGTGCACACACATTTTTTGCGAGTCATCATGGCATAAAGATGGCCACCACAAAAGATCTAGCCTTCGGTTCTTTTGAGGGTCCAATTTTTTTCATGATGAGATAGAAAAAATACGTATACATGTCATCATAGTGATCTGAAGTTTTTACCTCTCGGTAAGAAAAGAGTTAAAATCAACTTTTGCTATTATTTTTTCATTTCTACGGGACCGATCAGTAAATAGTTGACTACCTCTCCAACTCCCTTCAATCACAGCTAAAGTTTTGGGTTTTTCCTAGAGACAATGCATAAGTAGTTCGTACAGTACATTGACTCTCAGAAAGCGAGCGCGCCAAACCATGTTTCCAATTTGGGCCGCTAATGAAACGAAATGCAATTCGGCTATGCACAAGGCACCAAAATGCTGGAAATTTCCACTGCTATGCCTTGGTTTGCCAAAATTACTGAAATGAAACCGCAACACCGGCTTTAATAAAAAAAAAATAACACTGAATTCGCTACGAAAGTAACGCCTTGTTTTGCCTTCTGTTGCATAACAGGATTTTTTGCCAATCATCATCGGCAGCAGGGGTTTATTAGGTTTAATTAATCATAACCAGGCATCTCTAATGCATCCCTCGCAGTGACACATTGCTGACAATTCACTTTTGGACATTGCGGCTTGAAGGTATTGTCCCAACAATCACCTGTCTAAGACCAACTACTGTGTTGCATCATAACTTTCAGTCTTTCACTCTCTTTCTTCTGGTAGTCATTGTGCTTGATCAGAGCACCTAGATTGGCGTGTAATGGACTTTTGCCATGTTCCTTCGAAGCAGAAAGACAGTGTCAAATACACGCTCTAGCTCTTTTCTCCTCCCGTTGCAAACAGTGCTTCTTGGGTTTTAGAGTGATCTGATTCAATTACCGTGAACTCTCTGTCCATTACGTGAAATGTTTTTACTTTCTTTTAGTGCTTATAAAAACCAAGGTTCCGAACGGTAGACAGCATCAGTTCCATTCCGTCATTGTTCCAGTGTACATTTCAAGCTGAGTTCAGGGAGCAATACAATGCAGGTTTGAAATCGATCCAACGAATCTAACTTGTGGTAAAACAACTTACTCTAATGAAACATTTTCTCATCTTTCAGTTTTTCCTATCGTCTTTGACACTTGCCCTAGTTGCTTGTGCAGCTGTTGACTCTGCGAGTAAATCAGTAAGCAAACGAGATCTTTGGCAGTCGGGAGCAGTTCAAGATCATCCCGGATTTATGGGACAGTCGGGATACTCAGGATATTCGGGACACTCAGGACTAGGAGTTCAGCAGTACGGTAACGGTTGGAGTCAGGGTATCGAAGCACGAATTCACATGCCAGAAGCCTATCAATATGGCCACGTGCAAGCTCCAGTGCATCCGGTTCACGAACATCCCGAGGAGGAGTCCCAGGATAAGATGAATTTTCAGGAATGGAAGCCAGTCTATAGCGACCTCAAGCATCATGCAACTGCTGGCACCACGAAAAATTCTGAACAAGAACAACACAGTCACGAAGAATGGCAAGATGATGAGGACAAGCATGAAGAACCGGGAAAGCATCATCACCACCACCATCATCATCATGTGAAGGTTATCGAGGTGCCAAAGCCCTACACCGTTCATGTCGAAAAGCCATTCCCAGTGTACGTGGAGAAACCGATCATTGTGGAGAAGCACGTGCCGCTGAAGTTGTTGATTAAGAAGAAGTATCATTAAGCGTAAATAGATTGGTGATAAGAAAGAATTTTTTTTTTCGAATTCATTTTAATCCAAAACACTATCCCATAAAATGCTCAATAAGGTCTCACTAGTATCTAGTTGTCGTTCAAATCAGAACGATAATGAAATCAGCCTGACATTCTGCAGAGTCCCATCAAACATTTAAAGTTTGCAGCACCCTGATTCAACCTTCCACGATCAAGTCACGCACCTCTGGAGTTACACAACTTCCAAATCCTAGACCAAACTGACAGATGTAGAACGAATCACAGCATCCGAAAGTAGCACCAGCAGCCAACTTTTCCACCTCACCGCACAGCAGTAAGGCCGCTGTCGACCGCCAAAGGGAATCAGGTCATTGTACACCTTCGATTTCGTTCGGAGACAGAATACCACCTACAGAGTGCAGTTATACAATTGCTTGCCCTCCAAAGTTGAGTCAAGCCGTGGAGAGTTATTTCAATTTTTCGGAGCCCCAAGCCTTGTTTTTTTTGCTTGTGTTTCGCGGTTGGACTTTTTTGCTGCTGTCTTGCAAGAGAAAGAAAGAATTTTCAATTTCATTTCCAAGTCGTGGGTAGTAGGTAGGCATGTATGGTAGGTGTTCCAGTAATAGTGGTGTACCTATAGTTGTGGTTTGGGGGCTTATGCCAGAATAATGGTGAAAAACCAAATAACTTTATTTGTCATTGGTATCTTATGGAAAAAAAAAAAAAATTCCTTAAGATTTTGACTGCTTTGCACCTATAGTTGGTGTAGTGTTCCATTAATAGTGGAATCCATTAGAAACCAATGCGTTCCACTATTATAGGAACCCAATTTAGCAACTAAATAACGGAGAATGTGTTTGCTTAATGTATACAATTAAATTCCAATGTTACACAATAGAGATTGAAAACTATAGATTGACGTCTACAAATTTTTATGCATATCGTTTATTTATATTTCAATAAATAAATTTTCTTAGTTCCCCCACTACTGGCTCACCCACCCTACCTACAATTGAACCGAGTATAGTTTGCGCTGGAACGATGTGCTCGTCGGATATTGAACGAAAGAAGGAGAATCAAAGTCAAGCCAACTTCCAGTATAATTCTCGTCGGCTCGAAATGTTATTAATTTTGATTGTTTGATTTATGAGAAAAATTTTGTGGATCACCGCGTGAGGCCTCAAAAAAGGTTGCCACCACCCCGCCACAGGCACAGTCGACAATGATCGATTCGCCATTCGTGGCAGTGAATCTGCAAAGTTGGGGCTGTTTGTTTTGTAGCGCGCTCGATTCTTTTGAAGTTCGCTGGAAGGTTTGCGTAGTGAGCTCGATTCCTTCGCAGTCAAGTTCAATAATTTCCAGCCGAGCGCAATTACTTATTTATTGCTGTGCTACCCAGGGGCAATCGTGGACTCCCCTTTTTCTCGTTGAAAGAGATGTTTAACGTACACTTTTTGTGGAATGTTTTTCTTAGCTCGGGTAGAACAAACTAATAAGTTCAGTAGGAAGGATGACTGGAAATCGGAAATATCGAAATATTCCACTGTACAACCAATTTGTGTTACTAATGGCTTAAGGCGGCAACTCTAACTCTTCTATCGATTGTGACCCACTTTGTGTGATTCTTTAAACTGAAACCCCACACAATGTGTTCTGTAATATTGAAAATAGATGAGGTTCATAAGACATCTCCCTTATCAAAAGTTTAAAAACCTATTAAGCATACACACCAGTAGTGAAAAAGTTCACAAAAATCTTACTATGTCTCATGAACTTTTTCGTTGGCGTGAAATTCCCTGCAGTTTTCACGAGTTGAGTTGAACGAAATAAATAAATAAAAAAATAAAAAAAAATAAGGAGCTTTCTTTTATTAGCAATGAGCATAAGTATGATTGACCACCCGCGGATGCTACTCTGTTATTGCCAGATCAGCTGTAATTACACAGAGAACGACTAGACGATGCTTGGAACTAGCATTCATCCTCAATATGTAAAAACTGGTGATCTCAAACTAGGCAATAGCAGCGCCGGACGCTCCCGAACGCAGGTCAAGAAAAGAAAGGGTAGAAATGTGTTGGCGTGATAGTCGCTATGCTGAAAGCCGAGAAATCCTCTGCACTTCCGCGAGAAATCACAGGGTGATGTTGGATAAAAGGGATGGGTTTGCAGCAGGATTCGTTTTGGTAAACGATAAGCTTAATTGATATCATAACGATTCTATAACGCGAAGGAGCTTGGGTTTGAAACCAAGGTCTTCTGCTCAGTAAACAAAAACGTTTGAGACTAGGCAAACGATCTCGTTTTATTACAACACACCAATGATCAATTTTTTGTTATTTCAATTTATTCACAATAAAAAATAAAGCGATTAACGAAACTTGAATGTGGAAGGACTGGAGATTAAGCTCATGATGTTCTATATACTCAGTAGAAATACTCAGAGGGAGAGATGGGCGGAGAGAATGTTTTGAGCCAAATGAACTGTCAAAATCTGAGCCAATCGAACATTCCAATTAGAATTTACCGACGATTTCTTATTCTTACTAGAATAAATTTGAGAGTATTGCATCGAACAGAAATTCAATCACCTTTATATTTTGTGTGCTTCTCAAATTCAACTAGTTTTTGGAACCAAAAACAATATTCTAACTCTATTGATTAATTGATCTTCGTTGGTTAATGAATGGCACCAAGAAATGTGCAAAATATTGCGATGCAATCAATTATTATTTTGCACGTAAATCGAATCAAAAATAAAAGTCATTTGAAATGCTAGCTTCTAGCAAGGGTTGCAAGATAATTTAAGAACAAATCCCTGCTGCCGAATTGTATTTTGTTTTCTTCGCCTATCTCTCCCTCCGAGTATTTCTAATACTCAATAAGCAAAAATGGTCGCTCCAAGGCCACAAAACCCCTTATATCCTCTCTCATAATAAAGGCTACGATCGCATTTTCCCAAAACACGCGATAATCAAGCGATGTTATTATAAATCTCCTTAATATGATAGGACCTAGGATTTATTCAAACTCAAACTCGACGGTGGGCCCTTTACACAAGAATAAGACTATACGACCGGTGATCTTTTGAACCTGGTGAACACAGAGCTTTTTCTTTTATGAGCAATGCACACTGGGCCGGAAATGCAATCTAGCGGAGCAAAGTTAATAGCTCGGAAACGAAGCGTTCCCGTGACTTGGTGTCACCCGTTAAGTTTCTTATCATAATAAGGACCATTTATTGACATAAACAAATAGTTTAAAACTCTTCCGCAAAGATGGCGCCACAATCTAACTTCTTTCGTTGACGTTTTGGAGACTTGATGTACTGGGCAAAGTTGTTTGCCTTGACAAAATAAACAACTCTTTTACAGACGTGAAATTTCCACAGCCTACTGGTTCCGAGTTATATCGAATGAAAGAAAAAATGTCGAAAATATGGTTTTTTTTTTCTTTCTGTTTAGGTTTTTTGCTGATAACCATATCATGTTTTATTTTTCTCTTATGCAAAAGCATTAAATAAATAACTTTTGTGAAGAAACATACTGGTTTAAGCTTCCAATTTTAAAGATATTGTTGAAAAACCGAAAAAAACAACAATTTTTGAACTTTAATATCTCCCAAAGCACAAAAAATCGCCACCTGACATTTTGAGCAAAAATTTACAGCAAACTGGATAAACAAAACATCAAAATTTGAGAGAGATATTTTTTGGTGTTTTTGAGATTTCATCGATAAATCATCCAACGGGGTACATGAAATATCGGAAATTGATTTTTATTGTTTGATGTCAAACTATTTTCAAACGACTTGTATATCATTTGAAGCCATCCCTAGCATCTAATCATTTTTTTATGTTCTGGAACTTTCGGTGGGCCACCTGGAAACCACTCGGAGCCAAGAACTAGGCACTTAGAAAGAATCATGTAAATTTAGGTGCTCTGAGACCGGCATATACGAGCGTCAATTTTGACATAAACTTGAGTCATAACAGACGCTAAATATAGCTCAATCAAACGTACTTTTCGTCGAGCAACAAACTTTTCAGTCTCGAAACACTTAATATTACATGACATGTTTGTTTACGTCTCATCTCTTATGTGATAAATGGATTCCGTTACGTGTAAAATTAGTTGTTTCTAAGTGTGCATGTTTAAATTTAATTTTACATTAAAAATCATGCACATTTTTTATTATAGTCACTTTAACACTCTTGGGTCATTCGTGACTTGTCCGGGTGAGATTTGAACTCGTGACTAAGGCATGAGAGGTATAGATATTAACCACTATGTCGGGGTCGCCCCCACATGCACATTTAAAGAACATGATAAAATTCATAAAATTACACGTTTATTCGATTAATTTGCTCTTCCACTGTATTATTTTCTACGTGATGTAAAAGCTTATTGAAGAGCATCGAATTTTCAACGATAAAACCTATTAATTTACATGATGGTGTAAATTAAAATCAACAAACATTGGCGGACGGACCGATTATTTTTTAAGTTTTTTCTCCACCGCGTATAGCTCGAGTCACTTCTTTAGTGGAGAATATTAGAGATGTGCGATCCGCTCCCGAGTTCTTCTAAAGAATCGATTCACTAAAGTGAGCTGAAAACCCGCTGATTAATTTTTAGGAACCGCAGCTCATCAGCTCACTGATATAACAAGTCAAATCCATTCAATCCGCCACATATAAAGGAACTTTTCAATGAAGGACTCCAACCTCCACTTACGCATTGAACAGCCACCGCGTGGACCAAGATGCGCGCGTAATACAACATGTGATCGATAGAACTAACGGTAATAGCAAACTTCCAAGCGACTTTGTCCCAAGACATATTTACATGTTTTACACTATGTTAAATGTCTACTGATATTATCCAACGTATTTACGTTCCAGGCTCATATTGCTGATGTTATTGCTGCAGCATATGTGCTCTCATCTCTCTTCCCACCAGTATCTGGGGGAGTGGAAGATCCGCACAAAAGCAGATAACCGAAAAGCGAAAT